AGTGTAGACGGCGTTTACACACGCTTAGGACAATGCCAAATGGTACAGGGTGGGCAATTCGAACAATTTCGCTAGACTTACACAAACATTAGTGTAATTTTACTCGTTTGAAATGTAATTTTGTCAACTTTGTCCTTTTCGGAGCCATTAATAGTGTAAGTAGACAATTATTACATATAAGAACTTAAGGTGCATTTTTCTAAAAAAAATTGTTATGTAAGACATCGAAATTTTCACACCGTTGTTTAGATAATTATCACTGTCATCAATTTCGAACGAAAAAAATATGCGTTGTCATTTAAAAATAAATTATGTCATCGCTGCCGTAAGTGGATTATAGAAAAAAAATTCCACATAACAAGGTGCCCTGGATCAAATAAAAATCGACGGGTCTCACTGTTTTTCGAAAAAAAATTGTTTAATGAAAATATGAATTTTATGCAGAACTTTTTTATCACGCTGTATACTCTACGCCTACAACTAAGGATCTGCTTGTATCGCTCAATATTGACCGGTAGCTTTGTTGTTTTTTGATAATAATAAACTTAATATTAATAAACTATTTAATAAATAATGTTAATAAAAAGCGAATTATTCAAAACCAAACTGCTGTTGCTACTTTAAATTAAATGTTATATATTTTATTGGAATAAATCAATTAACTTAATTTTTTTAATCATTGTCATGAAAAACAATTTGATAATTTAGTTAGGATATTAATTACAAAAACTTATTGGTAATGAAAAACTAAACAATAGTAATGTCAGGTACATGTTTGGAAAATCAATGAAAACTACGTAATTCAATTATTTATAAGTTATATAATGTTTTATTAGTTATTTACAGTACATTTATTTATATTTTATTAATTGAATACAAAATTGTTACTTGACATCTGTATAAATATTAGTTGCAATCTTCACTTAAAAATTCTATTAGTTTATTTGCACAAAAGTCTCTACATCAGAGCCGCAAAGTGGTACACAGTTTACATTATCTTTTTTACAATTGCCGAGAAACGCGGCGCGCGCGCGCCTTATTAACAATAAAAAAAACATGTCGTCAGAATAAAATATGCCGGCGTAACTCTTCGGATTTTTGTTAAGGGATGTGTAAAGATTATTTAAGAATTTTGGCACACTAAAAATTGCAATTTTTAATATAGTTTATTGACGTTGAAAATGTTTAAAATCGCACAATTCTTGA